TCAGGGTGCAGGGCGGCAGAGCTGCAGGCCTCACAGGGCCGCCTGGATTCAGGGCAAAGAGCCGCAAAGCTGCAAGCGTCCCAGAGCCGCAGGGAAGCAGGCCTCTCAGGGCATCAGGGCTGCAGATATGGCAAGGCGGCAGGGCTGCAGGCCTCCCAGAGTGGCAGGGCTGTAGGACAGCAGGGCGGCAGGGCTGTGGGCCCCCAGAAGGGCGGGGTTCAGGCCTCACAGGACAGCAAGGCTGCAGGAAAGCAGGGCAGTAGGTCTGCAGGGCAGCAGAGGGCAGGGCTGCATGCCTCCCAGTGTGGCACGGATGCAGAGTTTTAGGCTTCCAAGGGTAGCAGAGCGGCAGGGAAGCAGGGAGGCAGGGCTGCAGTCTTTGAAGGGCAACAGGGCTGTAGGGCAACAGGGTGGCAGGACTACAGGCCTCCCAGGGCAACAGGGCTGCAGGGAAGCAGGGTGGGAGGGCTGCAGGCCTCCCAGGGTGACGGGGCTGCAGGCCTCCCAGGGCAACAGGTCTGTCGGCCTCACAGGGCAGCCGGGGTGCAGGGCCGCAGGTCGGGAGGGCTGCAGGGCAACAGGAACTCAAGGCAGCAGGTCAGCAGAGCTGCAGGGCAGTAGGGCGGCAGGCATGCAGGCCTCCCAGGGCTGCAGGTGTCAGGGTGCAGGGCGCCAGGGAGGCAGGACTGCAGGCCTCACAGGGCAGCAGGTTGGCATGTCTGCCGGGCAGCAGTGCAGCAGGGCTCCAGGGGACAGATTGGAAAGGCTGCAGGGCAGCAGGGTGGCAAGTCTGCAGGCCTCTCAGGGCAGCCGGGGTGCAGGGAAGCAGGGTGGCAGGGATGAGGCCTCCCAAGGTGGCAGGACGGCAGGGCAACTGGGCAGCAGGGCTGCAAGCCTCACAGGGCATCAGGACTGCAGGGCAGCAGGTTGGGAGGGCTGCAGGGCAGCAGGACAGCAAGGCAGCAGGTCGGCAGAGCTGCAGGGCACCAGGGCATCAGGGCAGCACGGAGGCCGGGCGAAAGGGTGGCAGGGCTTCAAGCCTCCCAGGGCATCACGACTGCAGGGCAGCAGGTCGGCAGGGATGCAGGGCAGCAGGGCAGCAGTGCCTCAGGCCATCCAGGGCTACACGTCAGCAGTGCTCCAGACCTCGCAGGGCTGCAGGTCTCAGGGTGCAGGACAGCAGACCTGCAGGCCTCTCAGGGCATCAGTGCTACAGGGAAGCAGGGAGCCAGGGTTGCAGGGCAGCAGAGCAGAGCAGCAGGGTTACAGGGCAGCAGGGAGGCAGGGCTGCAGGCCTCCCAGGGCAACAAGGCTACAAGCTTCGCAGGGCGGCAGTGCTTCAGGGCAGCAGGGCAGGAGGACACCAGGGCTCCCAGGGCAGCAGGGATGCAGGCCTCACAGGGCGGGCGGAGTACAGGACAAGAGGGAGGCAGGGCTGCAGCTCTCTCAGGGTGTCAGGGCTGCAGGACACCAGGGCATCAGGGCAGCACGGAGGCTGGGCCAAAGGGTGGCAGGGCTTCAAGCCTCCCAGGGCATCACGACTGCGGGGAACAGAAAAGGATGGTCGGAAAAGGATGCAGGGCAGCAGGGCGGCAGTGCTTCAGGCCTCCCAGGGTTCCAGGGCTTCAGGGCAGCAGGGCAACAGGGCAGGAGGGCTCCAGGGCTCCCAGGGCGGCAGGGCTGCAGGCCTCACAGAGTGGCAGGGCTGCATGGCACCAGGCAGGGTACCAGGGCAGCAGGGTGGCAGAGCTGCATGCCTCCCGGGATGAAGGGAAGCAGGCATCGAAGGGTGGCAGGGCAGCAGGGTGGCAGGGCTACAAGACTCGAAGGGCAGCAGTGCTGTAGGGGAACAGGGCGGCTGTGATACAGGCCTCCCAGTGTGGCAGAGCTACAGGACGTTAGCCTCCAAGGGTGGCAGAGCGGCAGGGCAGCAGGGCGGCGGGGCTGCAGTCCTCGTTGGGCTGCAGGGCTACAGGAATGGAAGAGCGGCAGGGCAGCAGGGGAGCAGGGCTGCGGGCCTCAGAAGGCGGCCAGGCTTCAGGGCAACAGGGCGGCAATGCTGCAAGCCTCCCAGGGCGACAGGGCTTCAGGCCTCCCTGGGCAGCAGGGCTGCAGGTATGGCACAGCGGCAGGGCTGCAGGGCACCAGGGCAGCACGGATACAGGGCAGCAGGCCAGCAGGGCTACAGGCTCCCAGGGTGGCGGGGTACAGGCCTCACAGGACGGCAAAAATGCAGGGAAGCAGGGCGACAGGTCTGCAGGGCAACAGACGGCAGGGCTGCATGCCTCCCAGTGTGGCGGGGCTGCAGGGCTTTAGTCCTCCAAGGGTAGCCGGGTGGCAGGGCAACAGAGTGGCAGGGCTGCAGTCCTCGTAGGGCAGCAGGGCTGTAGAGCAACAGGCGTCAGAACTGCAGGCCTCCCAGGTGACAGGGCTGCAGGGCACCAGGGCGGGAGGACTGTAGACCTCCGAGAGCCACGGGGCTGCAAGCCTCCCAGGGAGGCAGGGCTGCAGGCCTCGCAGGGCAGCTGGTTGGCATGGCTGTCGGGCAGCAGGGCAGCAGGGCTGCAGGGGAGCAGGTTGGCTTGGCTGCGGGGCAGCAGGTTGGCAGGGATGCAGGGCAGCAGGGCGGCAGTGCTTCAGGCCTCCCAGGGTTCCAGGGCTTCAGGGCAGCGGTGCTCCAGGCCTCGCAGGCCTGCAGGCCTCTCACGGTGTCAGGGCTGCAGGGAAGCAGGGAGCCAGGGCTGCAGGCCTCCCAGGGCAACAAGGCTCCAGGATTCGCAGGGCGGCAGGGCTTCAGGGCAGCAGGGCAGCAGGGCAGGAGGGCTCCAGGGCTCCCAGGGCGGCAGGGCTGCAGGCCTCACAGAGTGGCAGGGCTGCATGGCACCAGGCAGGGTACCAGGGCAGCAGGGTGGCAGAGCTGCATGCCTCCCAGGGCTGCAGGGCAGCAGGGAGGCAGGTCTGCCGGCCTCACAGGGCGGCCGGGGTGCAGGGCAGCAGGGAGGGAGGGCTGCAGGCCTCAGAGGGCGGCAGGGCTGCAGGACCCTCAGGGCGGCAGGACTGCAAGGCAGCACAATGCAGTCGGGGTTTGCGGGCTCTCCTGTTGGCACCACTGTCAACAAGCAGACGGCCTTCGGTAACCAGCCAGGTATTCTCCACACTCCTCATTTTACCACGACTGGCTTTGGAGGTCCCAGTGGGATCCCTAGCACTGGGAACACTAGCCCACAAGTTACAGGTACCACTACAGGCCCACAGACCTGGTGGGGCCTGCCGACCTCAATGGCTCACCATTTACAGCTACTCCTACAGGCCCACAGACCTTGGTGGGGCCTGCCGTCCTCAATGGCCCACCACTGATGGCTACTACGACAAGCTCACAGACGTTTGTGGGACCTGCAATCCCCATGGATGGGCTTAATGTGCCCATGCCAGGTTCCATTCGCTCACAGGCCTCTGGAGCTTTCAACGTTGGAGCTGGACTGAAGGGGACATCCAGCACCCCTTCCGCTCGTCCTCTTGGTCAGATAGCCTCCAGTCCATCGCATGGAAGTCCAGCTGCTGCTACAGGAAGGGCAAGTACTGTCCCAGTATTGGGACATGCTTCTAGTGCCACTTTCCATCCAGACACCTGGGGCCCACTTGCCCAAATCACAGGTGGTACTGTGATGGGAAACAGCACCATTCCCCCTGTTGGAGGCGCTAGTGCGCCCACTGCCAATACGTGTCCCCAAGGGTCACTGGGACGAACAAAATCCGGGGAAGGAACCCCCCCAAGCCACAGCACTTCTCCGGGTGGAAACGCCACCACCACAAAGGTCTGTGTGTCAAAGGTCGTGCGTGTTTCCCTCTTACAGAGCACCAGGGCCTTGCCTGGCCACACGACCTCACTTTTAGTTGCAAGAAGCAGCACCGAGATCTCAGTGCTGCGATGCACTTCTAGTTCTACCTTGCCGCCAGGACACCGGGGCCTTCAGGCCTCTCAGAGCGTCAGGGAAGCAGGGCAGCAGGGAGCCAGGGTAGCAGGGCAGCAGAGAAGGGCAGCAGGGCTACAGGCAGCAGGGAGGCAGGGCTGCAGGAATGGCATGGCCGCAGGGTTGCAGGCTTCCCAGGGCAACAAGGCTGCAGGCTTCGCAGGGCGGCAGGGCTACAGGGCAGCAGGGCAGCAGGACAGCAGGGCAGCAGTGATGCAGGCCTCTCAGGGCAGCAGGACTGCAGGGCAGCCGGGCAGTAGGGCTGCAGGTCTCCGCGTGCGGCAGGGCTGTAGGGCTGCAGGGCGCCACGGCTGTAGGCCTCGCAGGGCCACCGGGCTTCAGGGCAAAGGGCGGCAAAGCTTCAAGCCTCCCAGGGCGTCAGGGCTGCAGGCCTCTCCGGGCGTCAGGGCTGCAGGGCAGCAGGGCAGGAGGGCTCCAGGCCTCCCAGGGAGGCAGGGCTGCAGGCCTCGCAGGGCAGCTGGTTGGCATGGCTGCCGGGCAGCAGGGCAGCAGGGCTGCAGGGGAGCAGGGTGGCTTGGCTGCAGGGCAGCAGGGCTGCAGGGCAGGCCCTCGGGGAAGCAGGCCCCTCACCGCCTCTGGGCCTTGGGGGGCTCCTGAGCTCGCCTTCCTCGGCTTCCCCAGGGAAGGGGGGCCACGCACAGCCTCGGGGCTGAGTGCTCCGGGCCTGGCCGCTGCAGGCCCAGGCCGCGCCCCTCCCCCACGCTGGCGGTTGCCAGGCTGGTGCTCAACCGCCTCCGCCCCTACCCGCCCCGCCCCGCCCCGCCCCGGTGGCCCCGCCCACCTGGGCTGCTGCTGGGGGCGCGGCCCCAGGCCCCGCCCACTGCCTGCCCGCGGAGGGGCCCCCCGGAGTGGCGGGCTCCCGGAGGTGTTCCAGGGACACCTCACAATGGCTGGGCGCAGCGCTCAGCGGCTCAGCTGTGCTGCCCCTGGAGAGGAGCCAGGCGCCTCGGAGACCCTCCCCCAGGCCCGGCGCTCCGACCTCGCGACTCTCGCGCACAGTAGCCCTAAATGGGCAGCCTGCTTTGTAGGTTTCTTCGCCCTCCCCGCCGCCGGCCCCTGCCCGGCCGCGGTCGCCCGCTGCTCACCCCTGCCTGGGACACCGCCCATCCTGGCCGCGACCACCCCGCCGTTCCTGCACCTGCCCCCTGCTCTGGGCGCAGGCCATTCCTCCGGGATCGCAGGCCCCCACCAGCTCGCTGCCACGTGGAGCCCAGGAGGCGGTACCCGCTCCCCCAGGCCGCGTGCCCCCCTCTGGGCCTCCTCGCCGTGGTGAACTGGAGGAACCCTCCGGGTCAACCTGTGCTGGCTGCGCGCAGTTCCCTGGGGTGCGGGCCCTCGAGGACTGTGAGGATCCCTGCTCTGGGGCGCAGGTTCCGGCTCCTGCATTCCCTACCTGCACAGGAAGCCAAGGCTGCGAGTCAGGTACCATCCCCTCCCCTCCCCCTTTGCAGCCCACAGGGGGTGGAGGAGAAGGTCCCAGAGCACCCCGGAGAACAGACCGAGGCTCTTGGTGGGAGTGGCCGCCCCCAGAGCAGTGGGGGGACACCCCTGACATCTGAGCCCCCGGACACCAGTGGCGTTCTCCGCCTCCACCAAGCCAGCCCTGCAACTCTGGACCGCCGTCTCGTGCCCTCCGGAGGGAGCTCGTGGGACAGCACCCAGATGGCTCCCGTGTCCTCCTCTGAAGGCCGCGTTGCCACCTCTTCATGTGGCCCCGTGGGAGATGCCCTCGCGAAGGCCGACAGGGATGCGGCAGTGCTCTGGGGCCCAACCGCATGCCGCCCCTTGCCGCAGGAGACGTGCACACAGGCGGCGGTGGCTGAAGACCATCAGCCTGGGCAGAGCACGCGGGCCGGAGCGAGGAAGGACACGCAGGCTGAGAAGCCCTCGGGCGTGTCGCCACGGAGCCCTCTCCCACCAGCACCTGCCAGCAGGAGGCAGAACAAGAGGAAAATGGCCATGCCCCTCTGTCTGCCATTGCCGCCACCACTACCGCTGCTGTGGGATCGAGGGGACTTGCCCGCACCCCCGAAGCTTCCTTGCGTGGCTCTTGACAAGGACCCAGGCACCTTGCCGAACACCGAGTGTCCCAGGAACACGACCTTGAAGGACAGAACAAAGACCTTGGCAGACTGCAGGGCCGCTCAGCCTGCCCCCTCCTCCCCCCCACTGGCCTCGGAGACTGCAGGCTCCCCGCCCCTGGCCGCTCACGCTGCCCACGGCCCTGTTCCTCCCACCGACTTGGCTGGCCCTTCTGCCAGGCCCCCGATCCTCTCTGTCCCGCCGTCGTCCCCAACACGACATGCTGGTCGGGAAACAGGACATGGAGTTCCTGAATCTCCTCCCCTGGCTGTTCCCGCCGATTCTCTTCCTCCCCTTCCTTCCAGTCCCATTAGGGAAACTCCACTTGGCGGAGGTCCTCCTCCCCCAGGCAGGGCTACGACACCCACCTCTGACCGCCCCACACCTTCCAACACCTCAACCTCCTTACACCCACCCTCCTGCACAAAAGAATCCCCAACCCCCATGTGTGTAGACTCTCCCCCTCTCTTCCTGACAGCCCCTCTCCCAGGCCACTCCACACATAGCTCTGTCGTTGCAGTCCAGCCCGGCACCTCTAAACCGACTTCTTCTCCCACCGCAGCAAAGTCATCTGCTTTGACCTCCAAGCCTATTTCCAATCCTGGTGTCGTGGACATGGACACTACGTCCCCTTCCCGGGCTGTCATCTTCAGCTCGCCCCCACACTCCGGGATGAGCTGTCCTCCGTTTTCCCGGGGCCATTGCAGTATGAAGCAGAGATGCCCTGCGAAAGTTGCAGCATCCACCAGTCTAACTACGTCGATGGCCCCCGGCCCCACACCACTTGCTGATCAACTCTTCAGCCTCCACATCACCCCTCAGCCCACACATGGGACTCTTGCTGGGAGGCAGCAAAAAGCTGTTCTTCCCAGTGCTCCTATCGCCACTGGCTTGCCCAACCTGAGTTCTGGGGCCACCACCACTCCAGTAGGCAGCACCTCTGCAAACCCCAAACCTCACTCTGACGCCGAGGCCATGGATACCACATCTCCCTCCCGGGCTGTCATCTTCCAGACCCCCCTGGGTCCCAGAAGAACCGCTTGCCACTGTACAGGGCGCTTCCTGGTTCTGGCAACACACCACCCGGTAGCAGTACTGCCTTGGCCCATGGCTCTACCACTTTACCTCAAAAGTCAGCCATCATACAGGCCTCCGTTTGGATGCATCCTAACCCAGGAATCGCCCCTCACTCTGACGCCGAGGCCATGGATACCACATCTCCCTCCCGGGCTGTCATCTTCCAGACCCCCCCTGGGTCCCAGAAGAACCGCTTGCCACTGTACAGGGCGCTTCCTGGTTCTGGCAACACACCACCCGGTAGCAGTACTGCCTTGGCCCATGGCTCTACCATTTTCCCTCAAAAGTCAGCCATCATACAGGCCTCGGTTTCGATGCATCCTAACCCAGGAATCGCCCCTCACTCTGACCCCGATGCCATGGATACCACATCTCCCTCCCGGGCTGTCATCTTCCAGACCCCCCCTGGGTCCCAGAAGAACCGCTTGCCACTGTACAGGGCGCTTCCTGGTTCTGGCAACACACCACCCGGTAGCAGTACTGCCTTGGCCCATGGCTCTACCATTTTCCCTCAAAAGTCAGCCATCATACAGGCCTCCGTTTGGATGCATCCTAACCCAGGAATCGCCCCTCAATCTGACCCCGATGCCATGGATACCACATCACCCTCCCGGGCTGTCATCTTCCAGACCCCCCCTGGGTCCCAGAAGAACCACTTGCCCCTTTACAGGGCGCTTCCTGGTTCTGGCAACACACCACCCGGTAGCAGCACTGCCTTGGCCCATGGCTCTACCATTTTCCCTCAAAAGTCAGCCATCATACAGGCCTCCGTTTCGATGCATCCTAACCCAGGAATCGCCCCTCACTCTGACCCGACGCCATGGATACCACATCTCCCTCCCGGGCTGTCATCTTCCAGACCCCCCTGGGTCCCAGAAGAACCGCTTGCCACTGTACAGGGCACTCCTGGTTCTGGCAACACACCACCTGTAGCAGCACTGCCTTGGCCCATGGCTCTACCAGTTTCCCTCAAAAGTCAGCCATCATACAGGCCTCGGTTTCGATGCATCCTAACCCAGGAATCGCCCTTCACTCTGACCCCGATGCCATGGATACCACATCTCCCTCCTGGGCTGTCATCTTTCAGTAACCCCCTGGGTCCCAGAAGAACTGCTCCCACTGTACAGGGCGCTTCCTGGTTCTGGCAACACACCACCTACCAGCAGCACTGCCTTGGCCCATGGCTCTACCAGTTTCCCTCAAAAGTCAGCCATCAAACACCCCCGTTTCGCTGCATCCTAACCCAGGAATCACCTCTCAGCCCACAATTGGAGGTCACAATGGGCAACAGCCTAACAATTGCTACCTGATAGGAAAAACAGTTGCCCCAACACAGGCTATCGGCCTGGCCACTCCTATAACTCAGCCACCCGGAGGGACCACAATGCAATCGGGGTTTGCGGGCCTCCTTTTGGCACCACTGTCAACAAGCAGACGGCCCTTGGTAACCAGCCAGGTGTTCTCCACACTCCTCATTCTACCACGACTGGCTTTCAGGTACCACTGGGATCCCTAGCACTGGGAACAGTAGCTCACCAGTTACAGGTACCACTACAGGCCCACAGACTGTCGTGGGGCCTGCAGTCCCCAGTGGCTTACCAGTCACGGCTACCACTACAGGCCCACAGACGTTTGTGGGGCTTACAGTCCTCAGTGGCTCACCACTCAGGGATACCACTGCAGCCCCTCAGACCTTTGTGGGGCCTGCACTCCCCAGGGCATCACTACTCCTGACTACCAGCACAGGCCCACAGATGATTGTGGGGCCTATAGTCCTTAGTGGCTCACCACTCACGGCTACCACCACAGGCCCTCAGACCTTCGTGGGGCTAGCAGTCCCAGTGGCTTATCAGTCACGGCCACCACTACAGGCCCACAGACCTTTGTGGGACCTGCAATCCCCATGGATGGGCTTAATGTGCCCATGCCAGATTCCATTCGCTCACAGGCGTCAGGAGCATTCAACGTTGGAGCTGGACTGAAGGGGACATCCAGCACCCCTCCGCTCGTCCTCTTGGTCAGATAGCCTCCAGTCCATCGCATGGATTCCAGCTGCTGCTACAGGAAGGGCAAGTACTGTCCCAGTAATGGGACATGCTTCTAGTGCCACATTAAGTCCAGGCACCAGGGGCCCACCTGCCCAAATCACAGGCAGCACTGTGATGGGAAACAGCACCATTCCCCCTGTTGGAGGCGCTAGTGTGCCCATTGCCCAGACATGTCCCAAAGGGTCACTAGGACGAACAAAATCCGGGGAAGGAACCCCCCCAAGCCACAGCACTTCTCCGTGTGGAAACGCCACCACCACAAAGGTCTTTGTGTCAAAGGTCGTGCGTGTTTCCCTCTTACAGAGCACCAGGGCCTTGCCTGGCCACACGACCTCACTTTTAGTTGCAAGAAGCAGCACCGAGATCTCAGTGCTTCGATGCACTTCTAGTTCTACCTTCCCGCCAGGCACCCGGGGCCCACCTGCCCAGCATGGAAGTGGTGTGAAGGCGGGGAACAACATCACTCCCAAGACTGGAAGACCTGGAATTCCTGCTTTATGTCAGCATCATGGGGGCCCACCTGATGCAAACACAGATGAAAACACCATCGTGTCTATGATGGCAGCCCTCTGTATCAGCAACCGCCCTCAGAACCCTGGGGGCCTACCTGTGTCTAAGGCACCTGGTGCTACCGGGAACAGCACCGTACCTACTGCGACTGGACATCATAATGGTCCCCCATTCCTACAGAGCACACAGAACCCCTGCAAACCACAGCACTGATGGTGCAATGGCGGATACCGCCATGCCTTTTAGGGAGAAATCTCCACTCTTGGAACACGTGGACCTGCCCCTGGTCAGGGCACCCTCTGACTTTGGTGAGCCAGCACTGTGGGTGCAAGTTCTTGGTCCACTGTTCTGTGCTCTGCGCATGGCTAGGGTACCTTCATAACCTGTCTAGGAGCCGCCACCAACTGGTTCCTTTCTTTTGTCATGAATCTCAACCTCTACGGAACAGATATTCCCCCACATATTCTGTGTCATAGTAAATGGATTTTGCTGTATCGGAGCCTCAATGGGCTCTTATCGCTCCCAGATTACGTAGATATACTTCTACCTCTATAAAACTTTGTTCTTACTAATCTGCCTTTGCTCGTGTGTCTTTTTGTCTCAGCAGTAGAGAAAGAATTAACCTATGTGGGTGTGGTGGGTTGAACCAGAGTTTGTGCCAAATTTTCTGTGTCTCAGTGACTGGAATGTGGAAGTAGCCACAGGTTCTGGCTGCACGCACAGACCCCTGAAATCTGCATTTTGAGTGTAAGGGATGGGAATCCAGGAGGAAGGAAGGTCCAAAGGAGGGAGAGATGAGGTGACTCGTCCTTGCCTCCACCCTCTGTGCTTCGCTCTCCTCTCCCCGACTCTGACCTCAATAGAGGTTGAATAACCCTTGATGAGTGAAAGGAAACCACCCTATGATTTTAGTTTTCTAAAACTAAGTGTTTTCTTGGGTGCCTTCTTAGTTTAGACTTAGGCCAGTCTTTCTTACGTGTTCCCACTTCACCCAGAGAAGACAGATTTGAGCCCGGAGAAACAAATGGAAAGAGAGCACATACACGCCTGCTCTGTCTGTGTGTGTTAGAAATTTCGGTTGACTTAGAATTTATTGTGCTGCTTAAGCGCACTAGAACAGGTCCTTTTCAATAATCAGCCCAGCGCTGATCTAAATCACTAAAATATCAAATCACCTGTGTGGGCAGCAGGGAGCCAGGGTTGCAGGGCAGGAGAGCAGCAGGTCAGCAGGGCAGCAGGTCAGCAGGGCAGCAGGGCTACAGGGCAGCAGGGAGGCAGGGCTGCAAGCCTCCGAAGGTGGCAGGACTGCAGGGCAACTGGGCGGCAGGGCTGCAAGCCTTACAGGGCAGCGGGACTGCAAGGCAGCAGGTCGGCAGGCCTGCAGGGCGGCAGAGGAGCAGGGCGGCATGGAGGCCGGGTGGCAGGGTGGCAGGGCTTCAAGCCTCCCAGGGCATCACGACTGCAGGGCAGCAGGTCAGCAGGGCTACAGGGCAGCAGGGCATGAGGGCTCCAAGCCTCCTAGTGCAGCAGGGCTGCCGGCCTCCAAGGGCGGCAGGGCTACAGGACTCCCAGGGTGGCAGTGCTGCAGGCCCCCCAGGTCGGTAGGCCTGCAGGCCTCACAGGGCGGCAGAGCTGCATGGCACCAGGCAGGGTAGCAGGGCAGCAGGGAGGCAGAGCTGCATACCTCCCAGGGCAGCAGGGCTTCAGGCATCGAAGGGCGGCCGGGCAGCAGGGCGGTAGGTCTGCCGGCCTCACAGGGCGGCCGGGGTGCAGGGCAGCAGGGAGGCAGGGCTGCAGACCTCGCAGGGGGTAGGCCAGCAGGGTTGCAGGGCTACAAGCCTCGAAGGGCAGGAGGGCTGTAGGGGAACAGGGCGGCAGTAATGAAGGCCTCCCAGGGTGGCAGGGCTGAGGTCTCACAGGGCGGCCGGGGAGCAGGGCAACAGAGTGGCAGGGCTGCAGTCCTCGTAGGGAAGCAGGGCTGTAGGGCAACAGGGTGGCAGGACTGCAAGCCTCCCAGTGTGGCAGGGGTGCGGGCCTCCCAGGACGTTGGGGTGCAGGCCTAACAGGATGGCAAGGCTGCAGGGCTCCCAGGGTCAAGGCCTGCAGGCCTCACAGGGCGGCAGGGCTGCCTGGCATCAGGCAGGGTAGCAGGGCAGCAGGGTGGCAGAGCTGCAGGCCTCCCAGAGTAGCAGGGCTGCAGGCATGGAAGGACGGCAGGGCAGCAGGGTGGCAGGGCTGCAGGCCTCGCATGGCGGCCGGGTGGCAAGGCAACAGAGTGGCAGGGCTGCAATCGTCGTCGGGCAGCAGGGCTGCAGGCCTCGAAGAGCTGCAGGGCAGCAGGGTAGCAGGGCTGCGGGCCTCACAAGGCTGCCAGGCTTCAGGGCAACAGGGCGGCAATGCTGCAAGCCTTCCACGGTGGCAGGGCTCAAGGCCTCCGTGGGCAGCAGGGCTACAAGTGTGGTACCGCGGCAGGGCTGCAGGGCAGCAGGGCTACAGGCCCTCAGGGCGGCAGGGCTGCAGGTCAGCAGGGCGGCAGGGCTCCATGCCTCCATGTTTGGCGGGGCTACAGGATTTTAGGCCTCCAAGGGGGGCAGAGCAATAGGGCAACAGAGTGGCAGGGCTGCAGTCCTCGTAGGGCAGCAGGGCTTTAGAGCAACAGGGCGTCGGGACTGCAGGCCTCCCAGGATGACAGGGCTGCAGGGCACCAGGGCGGGAGGACTGCAGGCCTCCCAGGTTGGTAGGCCTGCGGGCCTCCCAGGGCAGCAGGGCTGCATGGCACCAGGCAGGGTAGCAGGGCAGCAGGGTCGCAGGGCTGCATGACTCTCAGGGTAGCAGGGCTGCAGGCATCGAAGGGTGGCAGGGCAGGAGGGCAGCAGGTGCTGGCCTCACAGGGCAACCGGGGTGCAGGGCAGCAGCCTGGCAGGGCTGCATGCCTCCGAGGGCGGCACGGCTGCACCTCTCTCAGGGGGGCAGGGTAGCAGTGTGGCAGGTCTGCCAGCCTCACAGGTCGGCCGGGGTGCAGGGCAGCAGGGCGCCAGGGCTGTAGGCCTCCCATGGACGCCAGGCGTCAGGGCAACAGGGCGGCAATGCTGCAAGCCTCCCAAGGTGGCAGGTCTGCAGGGCAACTGGGCAGCAGGGATGCAAGCCTCGCAGGGCATTAGGACTGCAGGGTAGCAGGTCGGGAGGGCTGCAGGGCGGCAGGACCGCAAGGGAGCAGGTCGGCAGGGCTGCAGAGCAGCAGGGCATCAGGCCGGCACGGAGGCCGTGCAGCAGGGTGGCAGGGCTTCAAGCCTCCCAGGGCATCACGACTGCGGGGCAGCAGGTCAGCAGGGATGCAGGGCAGCAGTGGGGCAGTCCTTCAGGCCTCCCAGGGCTCCAGGGCTTCAGAGCAGCAGTGCTACAGGCCTCCCAGGGCTTCAGGGCTCAGGGTGCAGGGCGGCAGGGATGCGGACCTCACAGGGCCGCCTGGCTTCAGGGCAAAGGGCGGCAAAACTGCAAGCCTCCCAGGGCGGCAGGGCTGCAGGCCTCTCAGGGCAACAAGGCTCCAGGCTTCGCAGGGCGGCAGGGCTTCAGGGCAGCAGGGCAGGAGGGCTCCAGGCCTCCTAGTGTGGCAGGGCTGCGCACCTTCCTGGGAGCGGCAGGGCTGCAGGACTCCCAGGGCAGCAGGGCTGCAGGTATCGAAGGACGGCAGGACAGCAGGGCGGCAGGTCTGCCAGCCTCACAGGGCATCCGGGGTTCAGGGCAGCAGGGCGCCAGGGCTGTAGGCCTCGCAGGGACGCCAGGCTTCAGGGCAACAGGGCGGCAATGCTGCAAGCCTCCCAGGGTGGCAGGGCTGCAGGCCTCTCAGGGAAGCCGGGGTGCAGGGCAGCAGGGCGGCAGGGATGCAGGCCTCCTAAGGCGGCAGGACTGTAGGGCAACTGGGCAGTAGGGCTGCAAGCCTCACAGGGTTTCAGGACTGCAGGGCAGCAGGTCAGGAGGGCTGCAGGGCAGCAGGACTGCAGGGCAGCAGGTCAGCAGAGCTGCAGGGCGGCACGGGGTCAGGGCGGCACGGAGGCCGGGCGAAAGGGTGGCAGGGCTTCGAGCCCCCCAGGGCACCACGACTGCGGGGCAGCAGGGCGGCAGGGATGCAGGGCAGCTGATCAGCAGTGCTACAGGCCTGGCAGGGCTGCAGGGCTCAGGGTGCAGGGCGGCAGAGCTGCAAGCCTCCCAGTGTGGCAGGGCTGCAGGCCGTTAGTCCTCCAAGTGTGGCAGAGTGGCAGGGCAGCAGGGCGGCAGGGCTGCAGGCCTCCCAGGGTAGCCGGGTGGCAGCACAACAGAGTGGCAGGGATGCAGTCCTCGTAGGGCAGCAGGGCTGTAGAGCAACAGGGCGTCGGGGTGGCACAGACGCCGGGCAGTAGGACTCCAGGCCTCCTAGTGTGGCAGGG